AGGAAAATAAGCAAAGTATTACAGTTAAAACGCTACACAGTCTGTCTGCTCTTTGTGAGCATGGTCTATGGTTTTAAAGGCAGATAGGTGATGTCGGTGCATGTAGAGCTTCCACGGGAGTCACTGGCCTCTGTCTCAGCAGAGAGAAGAGTGCCTGCAAGGCTGTGGAAGCTCACCCTGCCTGCAAGAGCATGCATGGCTTGTTTAATCAGGTTAGCAGCAGCTTTAAATGAGGACATTTAGTAAAGTCTCAGGAATTCAGCTTTTCACATTCTACCCAGCACGGCTAGCGGCATCTCTAGGGTACATGCCTACACCTAAGCTGCCATAGAAGAGCATTTGTCATGCCCACTCAGATATGCCAAAGACCCCTTCTTTCCTGAGCAGAGTTTGTGCGTTCCTCCGTTTGGTATTTGTTTCTGCTGTCCGTCACATCACGTCTTCAAGCAAGTGGACATGCTTGCTGGCCAGTTGACGGTCCCTCGGGAATCCTGACCCGGAGCACAGAGTGTGCTCCCCCAGCAGCAGTTCCTACTGTGTGATGCCCCGGGCACTGGCAGGTCAGCCAATGGCCTCTCGGGGTCTGCCCCCTGGTGACTGTGTACAGACAGGCCAGAGAAGAACAGTGACCTGCATGTGCTCCCCTCAGTCCGTGCACACAGAGCACCAGGCTTCCGTACATACAGGGCGTGTGACACACACACGGTGGCCATGTGACACCATGCACAGGGTCAGCAGCTGGTGTGGAGGAGGGTGCATGCTCAGAAGGAGCACCTGACTGTGGTGCAGTGCCAGTCTTGGACAGGTGTGCGGTGGTAAATGTGGCTACTCAGTCGTGCAAAGCCACCTGCCAAACTGCCAGACACCCCGTGTGGTGGCATGCGCTGGTATCCCCTCTTAGACGGCAGAGGCAGATCCTGAGCTTAAGGCCAGGGCAGTCTTCTCCTACTGGTATTACAGACACACACTCAGAAACACCCATACACACACACACACACACACACACACACACACAGAAACACCCATATAGACACACACACACACACACAGAAACAGCCATACAACACACACACACCACACACACATACAGAGAAACACCCAAACAGATACAGAGACACACCCATACAATACACACGACATACACACACACAAACACCTATACACACAGAGAGAAACACGCCCCACACACTCACATGCATACTCATCCATACACATACACACCACACACACACATACACAAATACCACAAATATACACCATGAAATAATTCTCTCTCTGTCTGTTTCTCTCTCTCTCTCTACACACACACACACACACACACACACACACACACACACACACACACA